AAAAGACAAAAGACAAAAGACAAAAAAAAAAAAAAAAAATCATACCATTTCCAAGGCTCCCCATGAGACAAAAACAAAATATGCTAATAGGTATAGCGACTGCAGGGAGCTGGGACCCCCAAGTACTTCTCTGATGATGACAGTATAATCCAACTATTCTTGCTTTGTTTTTAAATTTTCTATTAGTATTATATAGCTACATATTGAAAACATTACTAAGTTGAGTTTAATTCACACAGATTATGCTCCTTTAATTACCTGCCAATAGATTAACTTTTATATGTGTTATTTTCTTTAATGATTTAACATGATTTCTAGACTCTGTTGTCAATTCCTGAGTGACTTAGACAATTTATGTTTCTCTTGGCTCCACAAATTTTAGAGGTAGGCAATAACATGTAAACATTTCATATTTATTTACAGTAGGCAACATTACATTCTGAAGTCTCTTTTAGGTATCCTTTGATAAGCAAAATTATCCTACAATATTTGCTAATACAGGAAAGCACCTCTAAAATCACTTACTCTTTAAAATAACTCCTACCTCCATACTGAGAACACATTCTGTTGAAATTACTTCATAGTACAATTTAGATATTAACATCTTCTGTTAAGACTGTGGCCACCTTATCTATCCCCAGATCAGCATAGTGCTTGCCACTCAGTACATGTTTCTTAGTTCTTATTTCATTTATTTGTTCATTCTTTCACACATTTTTTTAAAGGAAATATTTTTAGTTTGTGTTATTTACTATGTTCATTTGTTCATTCTTTCACACATTTTTTTAAAGGAAATATTTTTAGTTTGTGTTATTTACTATTGTAGGTCTCTTAATTTTAGAGATAACATTTTTGAAATAGGCAGTATAGGATTTTGAAGATTTCTGGAAAAGAAAAGACCATGCAAACTAAAGTAGTTCAGTAACCTGACTTAAATTATCATCCTTTTTGGAAAAAACCAGTGAATGGAGATCTATGGCTAAAAAAACCGATTACAAGTGGGTATTTTATAGTTAGGAAACTTAGCAGCTCTGCCCTGTTATCTAATAGAAGGCTTAATTTTCAAAACCATAAACACAATGTTTGCTGATAAAAAGACAACTTTGCCAAATGCAAAGAATTCTGGAACATGACTGTTTCAGTTGAACAACCAGAAAATTCTGCTAGAAAAGAGGCATGTGATATAAAAAATGCAGAGAATGAGAAGCCAGTCATTTTTGTTTTTCACTTAGGGTCACACAAACAAGTAAAAATAGTCAAGTGTCATGGGGAATAAAGTCCCAGAGAAAAAGGAAATACTGTGGAACAGCATATACTTAATTTAATAAATTTGGCTTTAACAAAGTAATAAGGAATCTTAAATATATTTAAAAAAATTCAAATACTTTTAGTAGCCTCAAAAGTAGCCTAAGATTTTTTTAAATGCCTTTCAATCAATATAT